TAAGTTTAACGAGTTAACTTAACTAATTAGGCTAGTTATGAAATGTAACCAACTGGACATTATTTACACACGACACTGCTCCACTTATCATGTGCTCGTTACTCCACAGCACACCTCGGATCACTTCCTCCTCACTCTTAACCTCAACATGGTTCCAGACACAACACATACCCCCTACACATGTCACTTTTTTGACGTAATCTATGCTCTCTCTCACCCTCCCGGCTATCTGCTATGGTTTCATCTTTGCTTCCTTCTCCTGAACAGTTATCATCTCTTGATGTTAACCGTGCTACTGATACTTTCTGCTCCACTCTTACGTCTTGTTTAGACACTGTCTGCTCCTTGTCTTCCAGGCCAGCTCATACCACCTCTTCTGCCCCTTGGCTATCTGATGTTCTCCGTGAGCATCGTTCTAAGCTCAGAGCTGCAGAAAGAGTATGGCGCAAATCACAAAATCCTACTGACCTTAATGTATATCGATCACTTCTCTCTTCATTCTCTGCTAATGCCTCCACTGCTAAAAGGACATACTATCACAACAAAATTAACAATTCGCCTAACTCTCGCATGCTCTTTAAAACATTTTCCTCCCTCCTTTGTCCTCCTCCTCCCCCTACTTCATCAACTCTAACAGCTGACGACTTTGCCACATTCTTCATTAATAAAATTACAAACCTCAGTGCACAATTTGCCACACCACAAACTGTCAAACACATCTTACCAGCAAACATACACTCGTTTTCATCCTTCTCTCCACTCTCTGAGGCAGAACTCTCTAAACTCATCCTTTCCAATCATCCTACTACTTGTCCGCTTGATCCTATTCCATCTCATCTCCTTCAAGCCATTTCTCCTGCCGTTGTACCTGCACTCACTCACATCGTTAACACATCCCTTCACACTGGTGTTTTTCCCTCAACATTTAAACAGGCTCGTATAACCCCACTTCTTAAGAAACCCACTCTTAACCCAACTCTTTTAGAGAACTACAGACCGGTTTCCCTTCTACCTTTCATTGCAAAATGTGATGCCCTGTCAGGCCGGAGCGTAACATAAAACCATGTCTGCATTTGTGATCGGAGAAATGACAAACTACAAGCGCTACTCTACACTGCTCAAAACTCGCGTTTGAATCATCAGTGACAAATTCTTTAAATGAAAACGTACTTACGTGAGTCAGAACTGCTGGCATTTTAGTCTAACGTTACTCTCCCAGGATCAGTAAACAGTCCTCCATAAAATGTGCTGCACACATCTGAATATTTGGGTTGAAGTGTTCTGGAACAGTGTTGTAAATACAACTTAACCACTGATTGTACCAAACTAACAAAGTAGTTTCGCTTTCACAACGAAGCACACAGCGGCCTAGCATGAGCGAAAGCCCCGGCTTACCGTGAGCTGAGGCGGCGGGATCGAGAACGGCGGTCCCGGCGGATCCGATGAAGGAGCGGTGAAAACGGTGAAAGCATATCCGGTGATCCACAGCACTAAGTTGATGTATTCCCTCAGCAACCAGCACGCATCAGCTCTAGGCATGACGAAGCTGATATTGTCCTCTTTTGGAAGGCCAAACAAAGTAGTTTCGCTTTCACAACGAAACACACAGCGTCTTCACGACATGGTGGCAGCAACAATACTACAGCGAGAATAAAAGTTACTCCTTCTTTCTTTGTGTGAACATTTGGGCGGTGTTATGCAAATCTTCGCACATCGTGACGTAGACATGTGGGGGCGTGTTAGAACGAGCCGTTTTAGGTAGGCGTGGTTGACTCTTAACTTTTATAAAGAATATCTCTTTGGATTTGAGACTTTAGTCTTTGCAACTTTACAGATCTTCTTTATGCACCAAGAGCTTGTAACACTCCAAAGAGAAAGGACAAATTTAAATCGCGTCATATGACCCCTTTAAATAGCTTATTAAGGCATTCGTGAATTGTTTCATCACAAAACCTTATATTTACTGAGAAATAGCCTTTTTGACAACCTCCCTGTGTGACAGATTGCCCCATTTACCCCTACTTAGATGTTTTTGATATATTCTTTCACTTTGTCAAACTTATTCCATAGTTTTACAGATGTCTGGTTTTGTAATTGCACTCCAGTGACCTCAATGATTAAAATGAAATGACTGGACACCTGGGAAAAGGCTTGCTGATCTTAAGTGCAATGTTTAAAGTGAACTCTATTACTCCAGGCTATAGGGGTCGTAGGGACATGGCAAGAAAAACATGGACTTGCACTTGAATGTACTAGACAGCGCTGCTAATGGGACTTCACCAAAATGTAACCGTCTGAAATCAAACTCAAAAGTTAAACACACTTCAAGCCAAAATGTCAGATACAGAAATGTTATGACCAAAACCCTCCAAACCTATAAACAGAACTATTCTGCATCTACTTCAGTTTAAGTTGCCGTTTTTGACATTTAGATTTAATTCAAAAAGAAGACTAAACCATTTCAAGAAAAGCACCATTCTTGAGAACAACTATACGACTATAAAAAACTATAAACTCTGACTAGCCAGTAATACTGGCATTCATCCACTCAAACCTCTCTAGCAGAGTTAGAAAAGCAAGTCTCAGACTCGGACTGAAGTCCCACTTAAATCACAAAAGCTAAATCAATAATACTGCAACACTTTTGAAGAATAATTTCTTAGATCCACAAGTTTTTGAACACATGCTGTAATTATAGCACAGTCGAGGCTTATGACTGTGGCTCATGGTAGCAGTAGCCCGATTCTTTAAATAGACTCAGCACAACAAATCATCAGCAGTGGTTGTGGTGAGTTTGTAATTGAAGTCCAGAAACCATTTGAACTGTCAAAGCAAAAATAATAAGAAGAAACATTCAGTGGGCGTATGCATACTAGCATCATCTCGCATGATGATAATATGAAAGGAAGAGCATCCAACAGCAAGAGGACAAAATGCAAATAATACACCAGTCTAATAGGCTTTGATACTTCTCTGTGTCCTTTCTTGAACTCAGAAAAGAAGGTAATTGCTTTATTTAACCCTTCAATTGTCTTCAAGTCATTTTTTAAGTCCATAAAGAATATACAATAAATACCACATTGCTTCTTCAATTTGAAACAGACCTTGTCAGGAATACCTGAAGAAATTGTGAGATATTATGCAATGTCGAAAGCAAAATTATCCAGACAAAGGGACACCTTTCACCAAAACGATCTCCCAAACAAACAGATACAAATTTCATTGAAATACACTTCAGAACCAGAAAAAAGCTAATTTTCCTTCTAATCAGATATAGGTTAGGAAAAACATTATATGTTGAATGCTGACATTTGCAATATATTAATATGAATATGAATCAAAGTTTGATGACAAATGTAATATTTATCAACACATGGTCTTAATCTTTATTGTACAGCTTAATAGTGTTTGTAATAATATATTTTTATATTAAGTGCTATGATGCTGCATATAGCATTACTAGTTTAACTCACATGTGGGCTATAGTTGTCAGATTTGATATAGGCCTATGCAAAAAAAAAAACTGTTTCGGGACAGGTGTAGAGACATGACAGTCTCATCAAGTTTAAAGGTAGCTTCATTCTCAGCACAATGAAACACGTGTCAAATAGACTGACCTCTTTTGAGTACGAATGAATTAGAAATTTGTCCTCGCAAATAATGCCTTTTTAAAAACTACATAAAAACTGGTTACCTCTTGTTGACATGATGCAGAATGATAAGCTGTATTTTTCCTCCTGAAATAATGATGATGGTGGTGGTCGGCAATGTGTAAAATACAGTTCCCCGACTTCAGATAACCAGAAAGTGTGCGAGCTCTGTGTCCATGAGCAGCGGAGCAGCTCTGGCGCTCGGCATCAGTGATCACCACAAAGCGAGAGAGAATAACGGGAACCAGAGCCTTACACAATGGGCGTGTCCTGCACGATAGGATACTATTGACGGTATGTGGTTACAGTTACCACTGAAGCAGTTATACTTTGACTAGCCACTCCTGCTTTAATAGTAACTACTGTTTTTTTTTTTACTTTAATAGATTGTGATGTTGCTTTTTAAGTTTTTATATATTATCTTTCAGACCCTTTCTTTTCGAAGATTCAAGTCACTGTGATCTGTCCAGTGCATAAACTTATAAAAGATCGCACTTTAATATGTAGCCTACCATTTAAAATGTCCCATCCAAAAATGTATTAATAAAGATAATTATAATAAAAATGTTATAATTATAAATAAACCCTCCGTTACAATATACGATATTAGTCTAATTGCTTATTGTAATTGGCTACTTTAGTATTAAGCTATTCATAATAGGCCTACTTATTCTCAACGTCTATGTCTGAATTGATTTGAGAAAATATAACAAACAAACATCCGACACTATTGATCTAAATACTTCTTCAGTAATATGTCGCCATCATGTGGTTTAATATTTTACTGTGAACCTGTTGTGAGCTTGTACTCGACGCCTTGCTTTTGAATCACTTAATAATATTTTAATGATAGCCTACATAAACTTTTATGCCGGTAGATTTGTTTTTATTCGAGTAAAATACGATGGACGAAAATGTTTAGATAATAAGGAAGCAGCGGATTATTTTGGTCCAGCTGATCTAGAGTCAGTTTTCGCATTTCAGTTATAGTTAAATTTTGCAGGCGGCTATGGGAAACTGATCCTAGACCTGCATTTGCGAGCGTTATCCCGGAGCAGCAATTAGTAGCCAGTGGATTAAGTGAGATATAATTCCTATCTGTGGTCATAAATAAAATACTTGTGTATGTTGGAGGCATGACAGCAGAATATTCTTCGCGATTGCAAATTAAAAGACTGATTGGTAGGAATATGCTCGTGCTGCAGTGCAGGGAGTGAAATCTGCTTTGGCAATATCAAATATTACAATTCCAATTTAGGGTGATCTTATGTCCATTTTGAAAGTGCTTATCAGAACCCATATTTGACTCAAACAAACGTGCTGCTGATATTGAAAGCACTACTACAAGTACCTACATGCCAATGACGTCATCATCTCGCGCCGTGATAGCAATAAGCATGGCTATACAGAACGGTTCATTATCCAAATTGCAGTCTTCTTTTAATGGTATATTTGCCATTTATAAGAAACAGGGTCCCACCTCCGCAGATGTGTTAAACACACTGAAGAAGGCGCTTTTAAAAGGTAGGCGCGTTTTTAATTTTGGTTCTGTTAGGGCATCTTGTGATTCATTCTTTGCAGTTGATGTCAGTCCTCTGCATTGGGGGTTGAGATAATCACTCATAAAATAATTATCAGAGTACTTTTTATTGTGTAACGAATTTATCCTTACACAGAGGCAGGTGTTGCAAATCCCAATCCTCGCAAAAGGAACAAGCAACCTTTAAAAATTGGTCATGGTGGCACCCTGGACAGCAATGCTTCTGGTGTACTTGGTAAATATAATCAAGTATCTTCTTCTACTGTGAAACATTATGCAAACAAAAATTAGAGTTAGATACATTAGAGTTTTATGTCTCGTTTTATCACTACCACACACACATATCATCATGTTTAGAATAATAAAATGTTATAATCATGCAAATGATACAAACAGACCCCTCTCTAAAAACATCCAGAACTGAGAAGAAGAAAAAGACTCATTTTGAGAAAACAGCTTTTTAAATATAATCTTGTAATTGAAATCTACAAATGCAAACAAGTATGAAAGAAAACATGTCAATTATGGGATTTTGCTTCTGTAACAAGGCATGAAAATATAATGGTTTTGCCTGTAGAATTAAGAATATTATATAATATAAAATATGTAAGAATATTACTTAAAACCTAATGTTTTGCAGTAGTTGGAATTGGTGAAGGAACAAAGATGCTCACCACAATGCTTGCAGGATCAAAGGTAAGTATTTTCTGGGTCACATCATGTTTGTGTGTCTTTCTACATTTCTCATTCTCAATTTTAGTACTGTAACATTCAATTCTATGGTCTTTTTCATAGAAATACAGAGCTGTTGGAGAGTTAGGCAAAGCAACTGATACTCTTGATGTCACAGGAAATGTTGTTGAAGAAAAGAGTTATGGTGAGAATCATGGTTTTGTGGCTACGCTTGTGATGGGGGAATGGATATCTCACAGAAGTCAGTCTATAAAGATAAATGCTTGTTTTTCCCCAGATCACATCACAAAAGAGGCTTTTGAGGAGAAGCTGAAGCAGTTTACGGGTGAAATTATGCAGGTTCCACCTCTGTAAGTCAATTTGTATCAGCTTGATACTCAAGATTATGTTTCTTGACATCATAGACTTTCTGATATTTGCATTTATAGATATTCAGCACTGAAGAAGGATGGCAAGCGCATGTCTGTCCTGCTCAAGCAAGGTCAAGAGGTTGAGGCTAAACCTGCACGTCCAGTCACAGTCTACAGTCTCTCTTTACAAGACTTCAGCCCGCCATATTTCACCATAGGTTTGTCATTTTAATGCTATATTTGGAAAGACATAAGATATGATAAATATTAATAAATGGTAAATGTGTTTTCTTGTACAACCACTGCATTAAGAGAGTTAAAGAAATAGTCCACCCAAAAATGAAAATTTGCTGAAAATGTACTCACCCTCAGGTAATTCAAGATGTAGATGAGTTTGTTTCTTCATCAGAACAGATTTGGAGAAATTTAGCATTGCAACATTTGCTCACCAATGGATCCACTGGAGTGAATGGGTGCCGTCAGAAGGAGAGACTCCAGTCCCACAATTAACATCTAGTGAGGTGCAAAGCTGCATGTTTGTAAAAAGCAATTCCATCATTAAGTTGTTACAGCTTACTGTTGCTTCTAGTCCAAATATGTGTTCATAATCCATAATAACGCTTCCATCCCCTGTTGTCCTCCCACCTCAAAATCCACTGACATATTTGTTTAGAACTCTTTTTAACTATTTTCGCCTTTCACTACATAAGACGGTAATTGATGGACTGGAGTTGTGTCTGGACTGGAGTGTCGATAATTTTTGGATTGTTGTGATGCTTTTATCAGCTGACGGCGGCCATTCACTGCAGATGATTCATTGGTGAGCAAGTGATGTAATGCATAATCTACAATCATGATCTACATCTTGGATGACCAGAGGGTGAATTCAACAGATTTTAATTTTGTGTGCACTAGGTTAGAAAAAATCATCTTTTATAAAATCATTATGCCATGCCGAACAGCTTTATTTAATCTTTTTTGTTAAATTTAAATGTACTTTTTGCATTTACAGATGTTGAGTGTGGAGGTGGGTTTTATGTCAGAAGCTTGGTTGATGATCTTGCAAAAGGTAGCACTCTAGAGATATTTATTTCTTGCAGTATTACCCTAAAAAAATAACATTTAATTTACTTGACATAATAATCTGATTTTCCCTGCTGTACCCCCACAGCTCTGTCATCCTGTGCTCACATCAAGGAACTCACTCGGACCAAGCAGGGTCAGTTCACACTGGAAGAGCATGCATTGAAGGAGGATCGCTGGACTTTGAAAGACATCTCACAGGCTCTGCAGCCTTGCCCAAACCCATCAGGGCAACAGAAGAATGCCAAGAAAGCAAAATCAAAGCATAAGCCCACCCCATCTAAATCTAAGGGTGACGATGGAGATACAAATGATTAAAGGGGATGAAACGGCCCGTCTGATGAACAAATTACATTCTCACTGGAAGAACTGTAGGAAATTGCCTAGTCCACTCTGATTTGATCTGGCCTCTATTACCATTTATTTGTATCCATCTTCATGGCCAAGTGAGGATAAAGCTGGTGGCATCTGTATGTTCAAGCTGATAGAATTTACTACAGTGTGCAAAAACAAATTCAGTTATCAAAGCATTTTTTTATAATTATTATTTCAATTTAATAACCACTTGACTGTAGTTCTTATGTTGCCAAGAGAAATAAAACATCATTATTTTGATTTTAGATTAAAACAGATTGTGTTACGCTAAAACTGCAGTGTTATTGTGGTGACAAAACATGACTTGGCACTGTTAATATTTGTGTAAGCCCAAAAGTGCTTAATTTTTTTTATTTATTTTTTTTATTACACATTGACAAGCTATTAAAGTTGATAATAGATCATTAATGCATCTGAATTCACTTAATGAAAAAGGAAAAAATATGCTTGAAAATACAGTTATTTTGGTTTGTTAATAAATACCCATGTCATTTAATTTCTATGCTCCAGATCCAGTAAATTATACAGTATTTTACGTGTTTGGTACAAACCTTAAAAACTGAAAATAGAAGCAATACGTGACATGGGATTATTGCAGTAGTAATGTATTGGAAAATAGCAATAAATGACACTATTCAAGTTTGTGTTTCTGAAAAAAGTTTCCTTAATTCCTAACAAGACTGCGTTTATTTGTTTAAAAAATATGTAGTATTATTCCTGTGATGGCAAAGCTGAATTTTCTGCAGCCATTACTCCAGTCTTCAGTGTCTCATGATCCTTCAGAAATCATTCTAATATGCTGATTTGTGATACATTTTGTTATTTTTTTTCTTCATTTTTCAAGATTCTTTGATGAATAGAAGGTTTAAAGGAATGGCATTTTTAAAAATAGAATCTTTTTATAACAGTGTAAAAGTCTTTCTTGTCGCTTTTGATCAATTTAATGCATCCTTACTGAAGAAAAATATGAATTTCTAGTATTCCCTAAAATTTGGAATGGTAGTGCAGTTTTTTTTAAATATTTGTGTTTCTATCCATTAAAGGGAAAGGTGTTTTCCTTACTGTTAAAACAAACGTCTCAAAAGATAAACCGAATATAAGCACATTAAAAATATGCAGTTAAAAGCTGATTTCAGATGGCACAGAAAAACACAATTACACAATGAGATTTATATAAAGTAGAATTAGCATTCTCTTACTGAATCAGTCTCTTACTGAATTGAATCTAGTCTTTAGACTGTTTTTAAGTGTGCAATCAGCGTACTCGGATACTAATCCCTCTTAGTCAGGGATTAAGATCACATTCTGCTCCTCTGCTCCCAGACTCTGTTCACTCATACTTTAATGGCATTAAGAGCAAAGAAAGAAATCATGTGAAATATAAACCCCACCTCCTTACTTGGCTACTTTTATTTAGAGAGAAGAGGCAGTACAGATATCTGCACTGGCGTGGATAAATTGATCATATCTTTTTTCACTTTCAGCTCACAATATAATTTTCTACTACAGTATAGCAAGAGTAGATGTAGATAGTTTTATACTACAGTATAGCAAGAGCTCCCATCTGGGAGCGGAGCACTATGGTGCTTTGGCTTCGTGAAAGATTTATGGAATGCCTGAAGTGCAGAGGAATGAATCATAAATCCCCTGTGATTTACACATAACAATATATGTTTATCCTGCAGGTCACTGCTGTTGCATCACTGGGCAGTTATGCCGCATGTGCTTTCTGACATGCTGGGACATGCATGTGCAGTTACTGTGGTGCTCAGTGAGTCTGAGTTGCAGTTGCCTGAGGCTTTGATTCTTTCGTTCCTGAAGGTCTGAGGAGAAAGTGTCATGTTCCCCAGTGGGCCATGAAAGAATGTAGCTCTAAGTGAGACAGGAATGTTCATTGACTGGAATATTGTGTAAATGTGAAAGTTGAAAACCTCTGCCAGCACTGAATATGCGGAGCACATACTGTATGAATTAAATTAACAATAAGATTGTGATATAAGTGTTAATTGGCATTCTTTTAACTTTAAATTTGCTCTTTAGCATGGACACATGTATTTTAACCAAACAGCTCTGTTCCTAAAGTCAGCGCTATAATGCAGTGATGTTATTCATCTTCATTGCCTGACTGAATGGAGCTGTTGTGATGGGAATGATCTAAAAAGGGAAGTCTGTGAGGTGTGAGAATCACCATGTCCATGTGGAATATCAAATTCCCAACTGAATTGAGTGTTTTATTACATTCTATAACAACTGGCAGATTTACTGTTGTGTGAATATATGTTATACTTATGTTCTTAAAGAGACCCACACTAGCGTTTGCTCTCTGACTGGTAAATCAAACTGGATACATACTTTGTCACTTTGTTATTGTTATTCAGCAAGGATGGATTAAACTGATCAAATATGACAGTAATAACATTTGCACTGTTAAAAATATCTATTTAAAATAAATGCTGTTCTTGTGAACTTTCTATGCATCTGTGCATGAAAACTGTAGTACAACTGTTTTCAACTGTGATAATAATATGACATATAACATGAGCACCAAATCAGCATATTAGAATGATTTCTGAATGATCATGTGACAAAACTAGAGTAATGGCTGCTGAAAATTCAACTTTGCAATCTCAGGAATAAATTATAATTTTAAATATATTAAAATAGAAAACAGTTATTTTATATAATAATAATATTTCACAATATCACTATTTTTACTGCATTTTGATCAAACAAATGTAGCCTTGGTGAGCATGAGAGGCTTATTTGAAACACATTAAAAAATCTTAACAACCCCAAATTATATTTGCTTCATATTACTTATATTAACAGAACGTCATCATACATTTTTGGTGCATTAATGTAAATTGACACTAATAAAAGAACCCAAACAGAAGGGCATACAGTACTTTAGCGCATGCTGGTCTCTGTCTCTTTAAAGATGTCCTCTTCCCATTGCGCAGGCGCGGACATCTCCGCGTTGAGTTTGCTCCAACCTGAGGAGCAGCCAGCGCGAGCTGCTCGTACTATGGGAGCTTAAACGGTGGTCGAGGGGGCCAAAATTCACACACTGAGAGGGTTTCAGCGCACTGGGACGAAGAGGATATATACCTACACTGAAGGTCGACGCATTCATTAAGGAGTTTATTACGTTGAGCCTGAAAAACAGCGAAAAAATATGCGGATAACGGATAGTTGCTCAGGTTTTCCAAATCCCTCAGCGCAGCGGACAACAGCAGAAACAACATCCGTGTTACTGACTGGTGCTGTTAAAAAGGATGCTTTTTACTCCGAAACCTTCTCCGTTTAGCGTTTTTCCCCGTGGAATATGAAGATTTAGCAACGCAAAGGTCAAGGTTTAAAGGCGTTAAAGCACACCAGCAGTGTATTTGGGCAGCCAGCTGAATGTTTACGCTTTAAAATGGCTGCGGACGGGATCAGAATAAGACCGTTGAATAATATGATGCTTTAAAGCTGGAAATATCTCATCACTTGAGTTATGGTAATGCTCTGGGAGGAAAGATTTTTTTCAGTGTTATGGGGAATTATTTTCCAGCCCTGTAACTGCAGGAGGTAACGTAGGAAATTCCTGCCCTTGTTCAGAAACAATGAGGCGAGAAAGATGATTTAATATGCCTGTGTTTATGGTCATTTTATCATATCACACTCGGATCTGGAGGTTTTCCATTAAACGATTGCCTAAATTTTGGGAAACTATTGCTGATATTTAAGGAATATCCATGATCTGTAAGTGAACGGATCCCCTCTGCTGTTTTAATTGAAACAATCTGGGCTCCAGTAAGCAGGGAAGAAAGGCCCTAAGATACTGATACCCAATCACCAACAATAGCAGCATCCCTAAACCATGAATGCTGGGAAGAGGATGCTCAGACCTGAACTGTTTCTGGTCAGACAGAGACTGCAGGGCGTGCAGAGATATTTATGGCTGTGTGTGATGTTCTCCCTGGTGCTGATTTCAGACTGCTCTCCATCTAAACCCTGCGAGCAGAGCTGTCTGTCAGGCAGGTGTGTGAACGGATCTTGTGTCTGTGATCGTGGATGGGTTGGGGACCAGTGTCAACACTGCCAGGGAAGATTCAAGTGAGTATTTAATAAGGCATTTATGAGTATTAAATCAGACTGTTTCAGCTCTGGAGGAACATGAAAGCATGTTGCAAGTGCTTGTGTGTCAAATTCACTGATAATGGGTGCATATACTGAACACTCAGAAAAAAGGTTACAAAGCTGTCACTGGTGCAGTACCCTTTCCAAATGTACTAATACATACCATTTAGGGGTAGATAAGATGTAAAGATATACCTAGCTTTTGTATCTTAGGATACCACCCCAGTGACAGGTTTCTTTCACTGTTGTTTGATTCAAATCTAAAGTTTTGTTATTGTGATGCTTAGGAACACAGGTCCATTGCATGTTCAATCATCTGTGAAGCATGTTACTGATTGCTGGATTGTCATACTTGTCTGGGGAATTTGGATAACTTGAAAAGGACTTTTCAACCCTCTACGCACACCTTGGCAATATAATCTCCATTGGCTAGTAAATTTTTTTGTTTACTCGCCAGACTGATATACTATTTTACACACACACACACGTTGACTTAGCTATCTAAATGGGTACATTACATAGACTTCTATTTTGTTTTTATATACAGATAGTTATACACTTTTTAACACAATCAAATTTGTCCCCAAAATATGGTTAAGTACACACACACACACACACACACATATATGATTCCACCCAATCAGCTTATCTTTGTAAAATGGAACAGCTTCTTAAATAACTGAATGTGCACTCTTAACTTCAGCCAATCAAGCATTATATTATGATATTATGATAATTAAGCACTATTTAATGATAGAACTAGTGATTAGAACTAAAACTTGGTAACCATGAATGAATGCATATTTGTCATTTTAACTGAACTTAGGACTGGTGGTGGTGTTTAAGATATTGTTGGTAATATATAGGTAATAGTAATTATTATTAAAAGATACTACTACTACTACTATTATTATTATCTGCTGGGTTCATGAATATTAATCACGTTGTCAGCGTTCGCTCGAACTGATTTGCTGAAATCAAAACAGGGACGGTAATAGATGAGCGCCAGCCAACGAGAGCTGTTTGCGCATTAGCTCCGCCCACTGCCGAGAAACCGGCATATCTTTTGCTTGTTCTTAAAAGCTGAATAATTCTAAATGAACTCTGTTATTTTGACAGGAAAATATAACAAAGAATATGGTTTACATGTAGCGCGTCGATTCAGCGTGGTATGCAAGACTCTCGCTCTCTCTCTTTGCATGTGTGAGAAACACAGCAGTTAAAGCGACGGCGAGTCGTGCGCCTTCACACTAGTTTACGGTACGTCAAATACAGGTGCGCTGCGTGCTACATACTGCGCATCCATTGAGTACATGACATGATCCATTGAGCGCATCAAAATAGTACAGATCGTTTGACGGAGAGTGAAACTCTCAAGCGCTCAGTCAGCGTGTTTATCGAGTGAAAATCTGTGTTGAACGTCTCTCACACACATACTGGCGAGTAAAATCTAAGAATGTATTAGCCAATGGCTAATGTTAGACATTATTTAGTCGCCCAGAGTAAGATTTAGTCGCATATGCGAGTGATTTACTCGCAATGTAGAGGGTTGCTTTTCACTTATGTGCATCATCTGGTTAAAAACTGATAAGAGGGGCACCTATTCTTGACTGCTCCCTCCTCTCAGACTATTTTTGTGTGGCTAAAAAATCTAGATTTAATTTCCACATTGAAATCTTTCTTGGTATACTCCCGGCAAATCCCATGAGTCCTGGCACAGTTTGTTTGAATTAAAGTTTTGTACTTTTAGCACAAAGACATGAAATTAAGGCCTTAAAAGGTCTTAAATTAGAACAGAAAGACTTAAATTCATAAAGTCATTGATAAAATGTATATATTCCTCAGTATTTTGTCTTCTTTTCACATAAAAATATGTAAACATCCTTAAATCAAGATATATTTCCTTGAGATGCATATACTGAGAAATCAAGTAAGTTTGTTAAAAATAAGAAAATATGTCAGTGGGGCATGAAAACTTGTTTTAATTTTGAATTAAGTTGATTTTCTGAACCCTTTGGCAGATATTTGTTCTTTTTCAATCATAAACTCACTTCATTTTGATCAATTTCACAGAAAACAAGACTTCTTATCTTCTGTCATTTTTCTTCTCAAGTAACTATATCTTGACTTATGATTTTTTAAAATATATTTTTACTGGAAAACAAGACAAAGATACTGAGGAAGAACATCACTTATTTGCAGTGTGACCAGAAGGCACAGTAAAAGTTATTTCCATATTCTAGTGTTCGTAAGAAGAGCTATTCAAGTTTTTTTTTTGTAGAATTAATGAAAAAGTAATTAAGAGATGTGTTGGAGGTTGTATTTTCAAAACTTTGAAGTGTTGCCAGTACAACTTATTGTCTGCTCCTAGACACGTACATTCAAAGAACATATTGTGTTACCTTCAATTTATCTTAAAAAGTTTTTAAAAAGTCTTCAATTTACCTTCATATAACCTGCGGTAACCCTGTTCTTCACACAGTTTATATTAGTATATTTAAATTATTGTACAGACATGATCTTATGAGAGTGATTTGAAACATTACTGTACTGTCATTATTAATTATGTGCCTTTGTCTTCACAAAGGATGTCAAAGGTGCTATGGGTAGACATGATTTAGTTTTAAACTATCTTAGTTTGACAGCTGTATGATAAATTAAACTCTTGAACAAAGCTCCTGCGCTGTTTCTTAAAATAGCATCCCGCTCTCATCGGGTGCAACAAAGATCTCGCTCTTCTCTCCATCTTAGAAGCAGCCAAAAGGATGCTATCAGCATTTATAAGTGCTGTCACTCAAAATAAACTTCAGCTTGACATCTCAACCTGTATAAAAATGTTGAAAGCAACAATAGCTGAATGAAAGGAAATTAACTCAGTTGATGTTTTGATGCTCTCACCCATTGTTGGGCCTTTCTTGCTGGCCCAGGTGACCAGGAAGTCCAGAGTTATTATCTGAGCATGTCATACTGTGTGATCACCCATTAGATGCTCCACAAGATGCATGATCAAACAACAAAGGCTGTCACCCTGACAAATAGCAGTTCGTTGTTTGTTGGCTAAGTGGATACATGAGATAGAAATTGTGTCTGGTGTGCCACTCCATTGTTTCAGCCATGGCTTGCTTGTGCAGATGCGGTTTATGAGAATGCAGAATTATTAATGACCTGTGTTAGGTTTCAGACTCATAAGCAACAATCACAGTGCATAATGGTGCTTTAATAATGTAGATAGAGTCCAGTCTGTGTCTGCTCAAAGTTAAAAATATAAGAATGAAAGAGGATGAAGGTACTTTTTAATTTTCTAGTCACAGTTTAAGTGACCTGTCTTGTCAATATGAATCAGTCTTATTTAAATAATTTCTCTGAAGTGAAATATTAGCCATGTTTTTGCAATACCAATTAGCAATTGCAAGTTAATCTTCAAACCGAGTCAGCTTTGGTGTTAAAAGTGAGTGCTTTGGAAATTTCTTGAGCAGTAACTTCATGATGTAGCCTAAACCTTAGTGTTGCTCAGAGATGGGTTGGCTTTCTGTGGCTTTGTGTGGTTGTGCCATCTCATGATGTAACTTCCTTTCTGTATACTGAAGTTCACACTTAAAGGGGTCATATGATGCGATTTCAAGTTTTCCTTTCTCTTTGGAGTGTTACTACAGTAGATTACTTACAATTATAGCAATTTCATTAAGATTTTGTCCATAAATTGTGTCCTATATATTGTCTGTGTAGTGTGTAATTCATTTTTTCAGTACTTTATAGCGCCTTATACTACGGGGCCGTTGAATGCTTGAATCTGATTGGCTGACGAACGTTCTGAGGTGTGCAATTATCTTCAGGGAAACGCACGGCGAACGTAGTTCCAAGCAGCTCTCTTGACCGTATTACAGTTCCATATCACTTCGCATAGTTAACTGTAATAATGGAAATTAGCATACAGTACCTATACAGCACACAGGAATTACTGCCATCACACGTGCTCGCACACGCACACTACGGTCACGCAGTTTGCACAAAAAGGTGTTGTCAGCGCTGCCCTGACGATTTTATCAGTTAGCCTATATAGTGTAGCAACTTAAAGGCTACACATGACATTTCTCACTAGCGAGGTAATAACAGCGCTGTTTAGAGACGCTGCTGCAGAACACTGTTGAGGGACGCACAGAGGTAGACATTCACACAAGCTCTCTCTCTCTCTGTTTCTTTTTCTTTCTCTGTGTCTCTGTCTCTCTCGCTCTCTTTCTAATCACTTCATTAATAACTGCATTAGAATGCTATCAACGGTGCAAGCCTCCATTACCAGCTTTAAAATAACGTTTTGGAACTAGCAAAAGAGGCGTTGGATGAGATACAGAAGAAATAATCCTACTCACAATAGCGATTTAAGTACAAAAACCGGACGAATCCCTTTAAATATATTGTCTGCTTGATGTCTTGAGGTGTGGTAACCGTAGTATAAGCGGAATAATTGACTCCGGGCCGTTGAATTATTAGAAAAATAATGCACACCCGAGGTTCGCGTCGTGGCCGCATCACCACCTCGAGTGTGCATTATTTTTCTAATAATTCAATGGCCCGGAGTCAATTATTCCTTACATATTTATTAAAGTGGAATTTCTGTGAACATGAATTTTAGAATGTCACCCATACAAAATGCTTTCTTGAAATCAGCTTTAAAAGTAGAGGAAAGTTGTTGTTTTTTGATTATTTATTGTAGAACAAAGTAGAGCTGTGCAATTAATCGAAATACGATTTCGATTTCGGCCTCCAACGATTATGAAAATACAATAATCGAGATAAAACTATTATTGCACCCCTTTCCGCCCCCTGTCCAGTGGTGCACTTTTGCTCCTCCATAAAAGCCTAATTTCACTTGCAAAATGGGACGTGCTTGATTTATCAAAGTTGATTAGATTTATTCATGTTTTTAAAAGCACGAAAGAGTACTTGCGCTGTTCCTCAGGAGGCTTTCTGTGCATGCG